AGTTGACCGACCAGTGGCACACGTCCCACAGACTGAGATACATTGCCATGCGAAATTCAAATACCTGAGCGTTACAACGTGGCAACAAGTAATTGTCCTGACCCATACTACTTTGACCTGAAGGTCGTGTGCAAAAGAGTAAACTTACGTACAGTATATATACAGTCACGATATTTACACGAAGTACTTAAACTTCACATGCGGTGTTCATATTGAAGCTAATGTTCGCAGTCATTTCGTAAAACATAACCATGCAAATACAAAATATGGAACAGTTCTACATTTCTGAGTATAGAAACACCAGTTTTTCCTTAAATCCCATTACAAAAATGGGTCTGAATCCTGATACATCCAAGAAATTTTTCTCTTCCCCACCGCGTCTATTTATGCTCTGGGGACCAATCAGCCTCCTGTTCTATGGTCAAAAGAGACTTTCCCCGCAGGAAATGCGGTCTTGAAATTACCGCATTCGCCTCTATCCAATTCCGATGGAAATAACGCACGGATTTGTACCTCCATGTTCCCATACGTCTCCTCTGAACCTTGAAATTCATCTAAATAATGTTCAAAAAGCGGGGTTAGTCGCCTGTTTCCCACGGCGGTGGCCCGGGTTCGGGTCATGTGGGATTTGTGGTTGGCAAAGTGGCGCTGGGGCAGTTTCTTCTCCAAGTGCGTCAGTTTCCCCCGTCGATTCACATTCCATCAGCTGCTCGACATTCATTAATCATGCAATCATCGTTGCTATACTGACAACGTCGTTAAATAGCTACTGACCCGATGACTAAGGAATCGTGGTTCGATTCCTGGAAGCGGAAAGGAATTCTTCTCCACAGCTTCCAGAGCCCGCCCATCCTCCTACCCAATGGATATCTGTCTCCTTTCTGGAGGTAAAGAGACCAGAGCATGAAGCTCATCGCTCACTTTCAGCTAATGCCAAGGATAAGAATGCGTGGAGCTATATTTTCACTCCCCATACATCTTTCTAGCGTACAAGGACAACTTTACCTTTACCTACTGATGAGTAGCGAAATGTCCTATATTTATAGTACGTATTTGTAATTCGGTATAGCGACTGGCTACGGGCTGGACGACCGAGGGGTCGGAGTTCGAGTCCCGGTAGGGCCAAGAATTTTCTCCTCTCCGCGTCGTCCAGACCGACTCTGCCCCCCCCTCTCCCCACTCTCCTATCCAACGGGTACCGGGGGCTGTTTCCCCTGTGGTAAGGGGCAGCTGACCACTCACCTCCAGCTAGTGCCGAGGTCAAGAAAATGTAGATCTATGCATCCCCTCCTCCATAATGCTTAATTAATTAAGCACAGGGGGCAACTTCTCCTGCCGCTTGGAACTACAACCCCAGTGGGCCTAGGCCTACCTCCATGAACTTCTCCGTTCACTTCGGTTTTTCTAGATCTTACACATTCGGTAGGACTCCTTGGGCGGGTGATCAGCTCGTCGCAAGGCCTCTACCTGTACAGAAAAACGCACACATACAAACTAAACATCAATGCCCTGAGTGGGATTCGAACCCACGGTCCCAGTTTCCAAGCGAGCGAAGACAGTATATGCCTTAGACCGCTCGGCTAGTGACCGACGGGGGCAACTTTACCCTTACTTTTTATCTGTAATTCGTCTCTCGAAACTTAAACACTTCTGTTCCCACTGGCCAGCTTGCTGCACACTTTAAATTATGCTTCAGGCGAAAATACGTAATGAATACGTAACTACGTTAATGTAAGATGGTGTCAGGCTCAAGGTTCTGCAAGAGTTCCTGTGAAGAACAGGTTTCTTAGACTGGTTTCTGAGAAGATTAATCCTATTTAGCAATTCACATTGTTCGTGTGTGTCTGAATATTTATGATAAATGTTTCATAATAAATTCGACCATGGTTACCATCAACGTTCCCTCTAAGACGGGGACGCAAGTGCGCAAGTCATGGTGTCTTCTGACAGCAGTTGGGTTGGCTTAGACAAGCCGGGGGGGGGGGATGTTCGATGAACGTCCATAACACACATTAAATTTGTTACGTTCCCAACAAGAAGAAATTTAGTTTATTTTTTCAAATTTATTTCTATTAATTCAGATTTACTATATACTAAACCCCGGGATAGCTGCGTCGGGATAGCGACTGGCTACGGGCTGGAGGACGGAGGAGTCGGAGTTCGAGTCCCGGTGGGGAAAGAATGTTCTTTTCTCCATGTTGTCCAGACCAGCTCTGGGGTCCACCCAACATCCTATACAATGGGTACCGGGGCTCTTTTTCCTCGAGGGTAAAGCGGCCGTGGCGTGAACTAGCGCCGAGGTCAAGAAAATGTGGATTTATACAGCCACTCCCCATACGCTTTAATGGCATAATGCTTAATTAGATAAGCACAGGGACAACTTTACCTTTTTATATACTGAACCAATAAAAGTGCACGGGAGTTCGACAGCCGCTGCGCGGCCGCGTGCGCGCGCAACTTGAGAATATTGGTTATCATTCTAATTTCGTATGACGTTGGGTATAACTTTATCATGAATATTCTAACTCGCGAAACTAAATTACTAGCTCAGAACAGTATATACAGGCCTACAAACGAGGGACATCTCCACTTTTTCTGAAGGTGTTCGTAACTTAATTTCTAGTTCCGGGGTGGACTGTGGTTCACGTATGAATAAGAAATAACATGACGTAATATAACGTCAGGGCCTGATTTATTAGGGAGCGACCGCTGAGATCGCCCCGGTGGCTCCATAAACAGATACAGAATCCATGTATTTTACTGGAACATTTGTTAGTTGTTATAAGAAGATAAAAAAAAATGTTACGGACAGTGTAATTGCCTGGGGCACCCCACAGCTAATTTCGGTCTTGTACAACGTAGTATTTTAGAGCTTAAAAGCAAATTTTAGCTCGATCTGTAAAAACAGTCTTAGACGCCTTAAATGTGAGTCTGAGCCAATTTTGGGCTTCCCTTCCCCTCGGGAATAATCGTGGAGACGTCCATGGTTGTGAGACCTCACCTTATTCACACCAAGTGGGCCTCCAACTTGATGGGAACCACTGATCGAAATAATTCCTGGGCTACAGCTACGCATTCAATGTCTTATGTACCGGTGTCGAGTTAAGACAATATTTTTCTCACGAACATAAATCTGGTTTACATCTCGCGAAACCAGATGCACGCGAATTAATAATCAGTTACCTGGAAAGTCAAGTTAATGGAAGAAAAACAGCGAACACCAAGCTCAGAATTAAAAACAATTCGTTCTAAGAACACGACTCGCTCACTGTTTTTAACCTACTGTCCTTGTTTTGAAACAAGAAGTTCTGGGAAGAACTAATCGACTGCTTTCCTTTCACTGTAATTTTAGTATCTGATAAGACAAATAGGAAGAACACTTCAGTATATATATGCGTAATGACGTCAGTAAAACAATAGTCTTGAAGGCTGTGGTGTTGCTGATACTGATGGGACTGATTTATAAGGTATCCCGCTGAGATGGCCTCAGATGGCATGACATACATACCAAGTTTCATGAAGATTGGTTCGGGAATTCAGGCAGTATTAGGGTTATTACCTCGACAGTTTGAGAGGCTGTAGTGTTGGCACTGCTAATGAGAGCTAGTGCTTAAGTATGTCGTTGAGATGGTCTCAGGTGCAATGATATACGTACCAAGCCTCATGACTATCGGTTCAGGCATTGGAATAATACTAAAGGTATTACCTCAACAATTTTAGAGGCTACAGTGTTGGTATTACTAATGAGAGGAATTTATCATGTAAACCACTGACATGGTCTCAGATAGCGTGACGTATACATACCAAGTTTCATGAAGACTGATACGGGCGTTCAAGTAATATTAAGGTTTTGCTCAGAAACTTGAGAGGCTGTAATTTTGGTATTATTAACTGGGAGGAATTGTGAATTATTCCTTTGAGAGGGGGCTCAGGTGCCATGATATGCAAGCCAAATTTCATAAAGATTGGTTCAGGCATTCGTAAGTTAAGGGAGCGATTCAAATACACACAGAGCACGCACACACAGACACAAAGGTGATCTCATAAGAGTACTTTTATTTTAAAAATAAGGAAAGTAGGCTAAAAATAAGTAAAAAGTACGTTTATGCGATCTCCATCCTATCTTGTGTCTCTGAATCCCCCCTCCCATCAACTTTTAATGCCAGAACCAATCTTTATGAAGCATCGTGGCACCTAAGCCCATCTCAATGGCGTACTTAAAATAATCTCTTTCATCAGTCCATGTGTCTATAAGTGTATACCCCTATCGTTGTTAGGAAACGGCTTTATATACACGTTCCCACGGCAACGAATACACGAAACCGAGAATTGTTGGACGCGTCGTTTGTGTGTGGTCTGTGTCGTTTCAAACGGGAGTTTATCTGTATCCCCCTATGGTTGGAAGGCAATTGCTCGGCAAACATGTTCCCACGGCAACAAAGAATTGTTGGAGGTGTCGATTTCTATGCAGTTCTCGTCGTATCAAAGGAAAGTAGGCTATTAGTTCTTCCCAGAATTTGTTAGCAGTTATATAGCACAAGTTCGTACTGTGAATTAAAATTATTTTTAAAGAATCTATCATGAATATTATGTTAAATTATGCAACCCCCGAAGCATTTAAATACACATAGGGTTACTAACCGCGCGCCATTTGTTTTCGATTCCTAACTGCTATATAACCCCACCATTTTCGAATCACCAGCACAGTGTACTCACAATTATGATCCGTTGATTAGGTCACATTTCTCTCCCACTGTAACTGTCATGACGAACCAGAAAATGGTAGAATAATCTCACAGAATATCCTCGATATATAATCACCAACATTTTTTAACCAATTTGTTATAAAACTTGAAATACAGAGCGAAATTAATCATTACGTTCCACTGTTTGGTGTTCGCTTGTCACTTGTTTCAGGTATTAAGACATAGTCTCTGTTTACAAGGACTGCCAATTGTTACAAACAAACTCGACGGGTAACAGCTGATTGTTCTACTTACGTGTTAGTTATTCAGCAGAAGGCAAGGGACTTCTTGATACACGGTGAGGACTTAAATCCCATTGTATGTTGCATCTAACTTATTGTGGTATTGTTACAGTCTAGTATTTACACACAGCTACACACGAACTAACAACGGAACGCGAACCTCCTCACAGCTCGGTGTCTGAACGCACTCTGTGAACAACTTCTCAGTCCCTCTCCCTCTCTGCTTCCAATTTCCCCTTTGGCGACCTTCCATTTCGCTCCCATTCAGAGCGCAAGCTCCTTGCTTATATGGCTGCGGGCTGGAGACGAGTAGGGAACCAGGGGCGTTGAATAATCCCGGGGCTCCTAAGCTGTCATTTCCTCGTATAATACTGACAAGGGACAAGAATATCAGGTGCATGTCAAATTACTACCTGTATTGCTTCGAAAACTGTTTCATGTTGCACGATTTGAGGTTCTCACAGCGCTGGTTATGGAGACTACTATGGTTTCTTGCTCGGCATAGTCTTGGACTATGAAGATGGCGGCGTTATGTTCCTCCGAAACGTCGGCTGACTTTCAACGGACTAGACGGCGTTATATCCCAAAAGACAGAACTCTTCTATTACATACTGGTTGAAGCTACAGAACGTCACGAAATGCAACCTTCCCGAGCGGGCTCTCTTGCCTGTAAAACTGTAGACTCCTATCCGGGAGGTGCTCCGTTCGAATCTCGGCTGAGATACCTGATATCCTGATAGGTGTTTCGTGGTTTTGCTTAGTTCTTACAGGCAAATGTCGGGATGGTACCTCAATTAGGCCTCTGCCGCGTCCTTCCAAATCCTATCCAAATCTTCATTCATACATCACCCTACCATTCCACGCTTTGTAGAAAGCGTGCCGAAACGTCGTAAAATATCGCCCCCCCACCCAAATTATCCAGAGCGGGATCCGTATTCAGCAGCTTGCAGTCGTTCAGATGGTCAATACACTTCCCTCATGCTGAAACCCGACTGGGCAGAATCTGTTCACAGGACCATACACGGGCCCATATCCAGAGTCGAATGATTCCAGATTTCCGTCTTCTAGGATGTGACTTCGTGTAGTCTGGTAAACCTTCACCGACGTCTCGGAGGAAAGCGCTTGCTTGTAAACGTCAAACATATTGGCTTCTTAAGAAAAAAAGTGACGGAAGAATGAAGAAGGAAAAGAGATAAAGACCAATAGAAAGAAGAAAGATATAAGGAGAAAGAAAGAGGAGGAAATAAGAGAGAGAAGAAATAGGGAGAATAAAGTAAAGAGGAAGAGGAGAGAGAGCAAGAAAGAAGAAATAAATAAAGATGGCAGGAAAGGGAGAGATGGAAGGACGGAAAGAGATAAGAGAAAGAGAAGGGAGAGAAAAACTGAAGAGGTAGTAAGAAAGGAGAAAGGAATGAGAGAAGAGAGAAAAAATAAGAAATGAGAGGACGAAATTAAAGAATAAATAAAGAGACGATGGGAGGAGAGCGATAGGAGAGCAAGAAAGTCGGAAAACATTAAGAGAGGTAAAGGGAGAACGCAAGGCAGTAATATAAAGAAATTAAGAACACTATACGAGTACAGGCTTTACGTACGTGTGACGTGACGCCTCCTGCAGTTCAATAGGCCGGGATCGCATCAGGCGGATTTGAAAGAGGGGTGGGACAACCCCAAGACAACCTGCCCAAACATCAGGGTTTGATGTGCTGAAGCCTGCACTGAGCGACAGTAGGAGGAAAGTACCAACAGATGGCAGTCATCTGACGCACTGGAGTTCCCACTGCACTCTCGAAACACACCGATTATTTGCATGATAAAACAAACGAACGTGAACGCAACAATGGAAGAGCAAATAGCGAAAAGCTGTTATCCTTGGCGCGTGTAAACAGGGCCTGAGCATCTGAGCTCTGCTTGGAAATACCCACCGGGTTGCAGCCTGCAGGAACTACCAGGCGCCGTGCCACATTAAACGTAATATGTACTGTGAAAATGAGAAATGTAGACGAAATTTTCGTTTAGAAAATCCAACAAGTTGACTCAAGCAGCAACGTTCCTGAGTTGTCCAGGCACAGACTATCCTGACTGAAAGTTTCTTGCTGTTTTCCTCAAACTTTCCATGCACATATCGGAACAGTTCCTTAAATTAGGCCACTACCACTTCCTTCCATATCCTTTTCAATTTAAATCCAAGCTACGCTATATAGTCTGGGTTACTGACGTTTGTAGATAAAGTAAAGTGGATTAGTGGGCCGCGCCATAGCTCGAGCGGTTAGTCGCTGGCTTCCCACCGCCGCGGCCCGGGTTCGATCGCGGGTCTGGTCAAGTGGGATTTGTGGTGCACAAAGTGGCGCTGGGGCAGGTTTTCTCCGAGTACTTCGGTTTCCCCTGCCAATCTTCATTCCACCAATTTCTCCACAATCACCCTCACCAACAATCTCGGGGGTGGTACAATAGGCCAGAAGTGGCCGCAGTACAAGGGACTTAGTCCCACCCCACTGGCAATAAAAAAAAGGTGGATTAGTGGGGGCACGCGGTAGCGTAGTTGGTTGAGACACTATGCTACAAGCTGGAAGGTCGTGGGTTCGATACCCGATGAGGTCATTTGATTTTTTTCAGTTGACCTAAACCTTCCAGCCTCAATATGGCCCTGAAGTCGACTCAGCCTCTAACAGAAATGAGTACCAGGAATCTTCCTTGGGGTAAAGGGGGGCCGACTTGCGCTTAAGGCTGACAACCTCACCGCCATCTGCGAGCCCATTGTTTAAACAATATGGGAGCCTCGACCTGTCACAGGGATACCTTTACTTTTTACTTACTTTTACTTTATAAAGAGTGTTGGGCATATGGAACCATGTTAGGTGTGTCCCATATCACCATGTCATGACGCGTCCTCAGGTTGCGGATGGAGAAGACGGCCTCCCGATATGGAGGGTAGCTGCGAATATACTGAATAAGTAGTCGCGGACGACAGACAAGGGGTGGTTCTCCTGTTTAGGTGTTGGATGTTGGACTAACAACTCCTCACCGTAAAAAATAAGCTTGTTACGAAATGTCACTAAGGAATCTAGGAGGATGAGATGGGCGGGGTATGTAGCACGATTGAGGAGAAGAGGGATGCATATAAGATATTGATGAGACAGCCAGAAGGAAAGAGACCAATAGGAAAACCAAGACGCAGGTGGGTGGACAATATTAAAATGGATCTTAGAGAGATAGAATGGGGTGGTGTGGACTGGGTCGATGTGGCTGAGGAACCAATGGAGGGTTCTTATGAACACGGTAATGAACCTTCGGGTTCCCAAAAATGTTTGGAAGCTCTTGAGTAGCTGCATAATTGATGGCTTCTCAAGAAGGGCTCAGCTTCATGGAGTTAGTTAGTCAGTTAGGACATATGGAAGATTCTGTAGGTTTGTATGAACTGCTGTATATTTGCATCATATTTATTTTGCATTTTCAGAAGCCGTCCTGTAGTTGTGAACGTACAGTGTTTTCACAAAGTAGCGAAGTGTTTCTGTGAATACGCACGCTATATAGACAGAGGTGGAAATGTCTTTTCAGAACTCGGTGAACACTCAAGATAAGAAGAGAAACCCGGGGAGTGGTCAACAAACATTGATATGAAACTGTGACAATGTAGGCTTGTGAATTTATCACTACAGGTATTGTTGTGCACACCGGTCCGCGATTTGAACACTGCTTTCAGTCTTCCCTATGTATACGATTATATAACAAAATTGTGCAGAGAACAAGCAGAAATCACACAGAATCGTGAGCAGGAACATGTTCATGGCATTCGACAAGGCGAAGCCAGACTTAGCAAATATAAAAGACTTAAACTTGACTGTGGTCAAGCTTACGACCGTTGAAATGGCTAAGCTGCCGTTGTAGCATACGATATGTGAGATAGGCATGATCTGCTTTGCAAAGTGTGTGCTGACAAAGGGCTAGTATATAGTGCAAAAGAAAGAATTTTCAATAACATGCTTTAACTGCAATACGTACACTTGACGAAAGGCCAAACATATTCATAAGAGACAACCCCATCTTCTCGTCAGAGAGGATGTTACATAAGGACTATGCCCGTAAGAGTTAAATTGAAGAAAATCTCTGGTCGTGAGTCTCAAGAGGTCTGACGCCAATTGTTTGGCGGCGAACCACCAGTCGTAAAGTAATTTTGACTTTGATTTGGAAGTAGAGTCCTCAAAATGAAGGGCTCTGGAACAAATCAGAGTCATCTAGCGGCGCCTACCCCCATTCACAGACCTCCATGTAGTCCTATTTCAGATTTCAAGCTTTCACGACGAATAAATTCATCAACATCTTCTCAGGCGATGAGGCGGCTAAGCTAAAGGCCAACGTTTCGGAGACAAGACAATGAAGATAACTGTCATTTCAGATGTAACGCTTTGTAGTCTGGTGGATATACACCAACGTTTCAGGGGAACCTGCTCCCTCCACTTCAGGGTAGAAGAAAATGGAAGCAGCAGGTTCCTTCGAAACGTTGTTGAATATCTTCTAGACTGTACGGTGTCGTATCCTTTTGCAGTCACTGCCATGAGAACATCAGTGAGACAGTCTCCAAAACGTTACTTTTTAGTCCATCAGTGACACGTTTTCTGGTAATTCTAGAGGATTCCGGTTTACGTAAGAATTTTCCATACAATTCTGTTCTCTTTGAATTCATATGCTTCCGTCTGTTTTGGTTTGCAATTTCCTAGATATCTGATAACGCTTTTCAGTTTTCTAAACTTGGAAGTTTAAATTTGAAATTGTCGCATTGCAGTTTTCTATTGCTTAAATGTTTATCTGTTTAAAATGTTCCCCGTTTTCTTTAAGGGTTTGTGTTGGATTCGTGTTTCTTGATGTTGTTAATGACACTTTTATACACAAGATCGTACACATCTATAGCCCACGTGAAATCGATGTGGTTGAATTTTGCGAATGGAATTCTGATTAGTTCTACTTCGCCCTTCAGGTTGCTGGCCAGGTGCTTCACATCCTGTGAACAGAGTACAACGTACTTTTAACTTGTTCATCCACAGTCTTTCCCATACCACTCTAATGTCATGATGAATCAGTTCCTATTCTACTAAAGAACTCTACTTCAGCGACGAAAATTATCCGTTCTAGCATCAAAAGAGATGGGAAGGTGACCATGAGGCTTAAGTAGGTAAGGATTTAAAAAAATTCAGTTATGAAATATTTCCAGACCACTCACGGAATGTTCCTGGAAATATCGAATAAAATCTAGATAACTGTGGTTCAGGGTAGCCTGTAACCTGGCCGTGATTCGAACCTAGTACTTTTCATTTACAAGTCTATAATATTGCTCACATTTACATCAACGAACTTGGTAAGAAGATTCGACAGGAATTCTGTGGTTGATGAATTTCCGGAAATAGTGAAATGTGGAGAAAATTCTTTGGGATTGGACCCAGGATAGCGCACTTTTTTTTTCTTAATTGCTAGTGAGGTGGGACTAAGTCCCTTTAACTGCGGCCAATTCTGGCCTCTTGTACCAGCCCCAGATGATAGGTGAGGGTGATTGTGGAGCAATTGGTGGAATGGAGATTAGCAGGGTAAACCGAAGTACTCGGAGAAAACCTGCCCCAGCGTCACTTTGTCCACCACAAATCCCACTTGAGCAGACCCAGGATCTAACCCGTGCCGCCGCGATAGGAAACCAACGACTTAGCCCCACCCCACTAGCAATAAAATAGATAGATAGATAGATAGATAGATAGATAGATAGATAGATAGATAGATAGACAGATAGATAGATAGATATTCATTAAAAAGGTACACGTTTCAAATGTCGTTTGGTAACCGGGCATCCTGACTGAGCGTTTTCGTGTTTTTTCTCAGTATCTACATAAGTATTCAGGAACAATACCTCGCAGTTCTGACCTACATGCACTCTCATTCTGCATCACATAACCTACAGTAGTTGAGACAAGAGCGTCAAATAACCTGTCAGTTTATCGAAAACGCGTGTCAAATAATGGGACACATTAAGGATAATCCATTCATTTATTTGGCTATGAACTTACTGGACCTAATTCATAAACGAACACGGCTGCTGATTATCGATTTCCCCCCCCCCTTGGCACTACAGCCCCAGTGGGCCTAGGCCTATCTCCATGAACTTCTCCGGATTATCGAATTACCGGTGTCGTTGACGGACGGTACCTACCGTCTGAAATAAGGGGCTACCAGTTTGTAATTTTAATTTCGCTGTAACTTACGTCCATATTTTTGGACGAGAACATTGAGGACAGATCTGGACTGATTGTGTCTGTATATCGAAAGGGGAACTTAGTAAGGTAAAGCTGTCCCTTTGCACAACTAATTAAGCACTACACCATGAAGACGTATGGTGGAGTGGATGTATAGATCCACGTATGCATGACTTCGGCACAGAGTTGCACGACTTCCAGAGTCGTGAGACAGTACTATAGGGTCATGAGTCCAGTGGGACTCGGAACCAAGAGTGACTGTGCTGATAAAGGCCAGCAGCAATTTATTCGACCGACCGACTTCGTCCCTAGTTGGAGGTGAGTGTTCAATTTCACGTTCCGACCGCTATACCCACGGGGAAAGCCCCCAGTATCCATTGGATAGGAGGCTGGGTGAATCCCGGAATAAGCCTGGGCCACGTGGAGAGGAGAAATGTCCTGCTCATACCGGGACTTGAACTCCGACCTTTCGGCCGTCCTACCCCTAGTCAGTCGCTATACTTACTGCGCAAGAAGGCAACTTAGATCAAACATACTCCGTGGCCTGTAGTCCGCAAGCGAACTACACCGACCGAGCGATCGCCGTTTGTCGGCGAAGTTAGTGACAACTTTTTGCTGATAGAGGGTGTCACGTGGTCAGCGCAACGAATCCCCACTGCCGTTAATCTCGGTTTTCTAGACCGGAGCCTCTGTTTTCTTGAAATAGCTCTTCATTATCCTCACGAGGCTGAGTGGACCCCGTTCCAGAGCCCCTACTTCTCAGAAAATCTGGTATGGCTGGGAATCGAACCCGGAACCTCTGGATCTGTAGGCAAGAACTCTGACCACTAGACCACAGAGGCGGTCGGGAACTTAGTTCACTTTAGAATTATAGTGTTGTGCATAGATTAATTTCATGCAAGTAAGTCAGTTTGTCAACCCTGCCCTTATGACTTTAACATGAACCAGTGTTATGGTTCAAATATTTACCACAGATAAGAACCAAAAAACGACCGTGTCTCCCATATTTTCTATCAGCAAGACGAGGCATGAACTAACAAAGGAGCGGAAAAAATATGGTGATTTAAGAATTTCAAGATGGTGACTATGAAAGTTATTCTTCTGGAATGTGACGTTGTGTAGTCTGGTAAACACTAACTGACGTTTCGTAGAAACGTACTCTTCCAGCTTAAGAATATAAGACAAAGGTATGTATCTCCAAAAACGTCTGTAAATATCTACCAGACTACACGACTTTGCGTCTTAAAACAGCGTGTCTCATAGTGGGAGCATCGTAGCTTGAAATAATTTTAAGCCTAATAGGTCACATTAACTTACAAACAAACAACGTAATAGAAAGGTACTTCACAAATATCATTAACATTCGATTAACCGGGTTCGATCATATCAACCGATATCATTAACCGGGTCCGATCTCGGGTCTGGTCAAGTGGGATTTGTGGTGGACAAAGTGGCGCTGGGGCAGGTTTTCTGCGAGTACTTCGGTTTCCCCAGCCAATCTTCATTCCACGAATTGCTCCACAATCACCCTCACCTATAATCTGGGGCTGGTACAATAGGCCAGAAGTGGCCGCAGTACAAAGGACTTAGTCCCACCCCACTAGCAATAGAAAAACATTCATTAGTAAGAGCCGGGATACTTCAGTTGTTGTAGCGACAGGCTACGTGATGGACGCCTGGGGTTTCGATTCCAGGCGGGGGAAGAATTTTTTTTCTTCTCCACAACGTCCGGACCGGCTCTGAAGGCCATCCAACTCCATATCGAACGAGTACCGGGGGTAAAGCGGCCAGGGCGTGAAGTTAACCACCTATATCTAGTGCTGAGGTCATGAATGGTGGAGCTATACCTCCACTTCACCATATCTCTTCATAGCATAGTATTTAATTAATTATCACAGGGACAAATTTACCTGTTACCAGGATGTCCAACGGCTAAATAAACAAATTTGTATTTCTCATCCCCGAAGGAAGCCATGGGGCTTTAATTAAACCTTGGGACCGAATAGCAGGGGGCTATGAAACAGAGCAACCCCTCTACACCCAGAAATCTGGGTACTGTTTGGTGCCCCGTTATTGCAGCCCCGGAATTAAAAAAGTTGTAGAATTTGAAGTTCTCACTATCTGTGGTTATGGATGGTTGAGAATATTCCACATCTTTCCGGGATATAACGCCTTGTAGTCCGTTGAAATTCAATCGACGTTTCAGAAGAGCTTGTCTGCTCCAGCTACTTGCTGCCTGCTACATCTTGGTTTCTTGCTTGACTCACTCTTCAGCCATGAATATGAAAGCGGCATGTTCCTCCGAAACGTCGGTTGACTTTCAGCGGATTACAGTGTTGTATGGCAGAAGATAGAACACGTGTTGGGTTCGAGACAGGACGTGTGTCCATATCTGCTGCTTTAGAATAGAAGCACTTATGACACTTTATTGATATAAATTTCAGTGGGCAAGCTAACTCAAGGGTTAACGCTTCTGACGTGTATTCGGGAGGTACTCGGTTCGAATCTCTGCCGCGACATCTTCTTTTATGACTTGGGTTTTTTCTGTTTCTCCTCAGTCTCTTCGGGCGAATTTCGGGACAGTAGATTGTAATGGAACACGAACGCTTCCTTTCAAATCCTTTCCCTATCATCATTCATTAATCATCTACCATCGAACACTATGTAGCCTGAGCTACTGATGTCGTCGTTAGAAAACCCTTAAACGAATACAAATAAGCATATAACAAATTCTGAAGGAGTGCCGTCAGTTTAGGTATGATTTCATTCCGTTACGCATCATACCGACCGAGCGACCGCCGCTTGTCAGCGAAGTTAGTGCCAACTTTAGCGGAGAGGTGTCGCGTGGTCAGCGCAACGATTCCACACGGTCGTTAATTTTGGTTTTCTAAACCGGAGCCGCTATTTCTTTTCCTTTTTAGTAGTTCCTCAGTTATCCTCACGAGAGTGAGTGGACCCCGTTCCAGACCCACTACTTCTCAGAAAATATGGTACCTCAGGAATTTTAGTTAGGAAATCTGACCACTAGACCACAGAGGCAGTCCATAGTTCGCTTGCGGACTAAAGCCACGGAGATTACGCATCATGGTTTCTAAAAATATAATCCATTGAAACACCGATCATGTTTTATGGACACTGTATAACTTCATTAACTGCGTTAAGATAGATTCGAAAGGCCTGTTTCGATCATGTGATCACTATCTCTAATTCATATTGATTTATAGGTCATCTATCTATCTATCTATGGCTCTACAGCCCTTGTGGACCTTGGCCGCTTTTTCAGTTTCTTAATCTATACACAGTCGGTAAGAGTCCTTGGACGGGGGATCAGCCCTTTGCACAGCCACTACTTACACACATAGCAACACAAACATAGAATAAACGTACACAGACATCCGTGACTTGATTGGGATTCGAACCAACGAGCCCAGTGTTGCAGTGGTCCGCGCAGCCACTGTGATCGGCGATTTGTAGGTTATGGCTTGTCAAAAAGCCTACTTGGATGGGACAGCTGTCTGTGCCGTAGTTTTTCGCAACTCTGCATAAAGTTAACTAATATTTGGGGAGCGACAAGGGTTTACTGACCACTGGCTAACGAAGACGTGTATGGAAGACAAGGAAAGGATATGTCCCGCTAGGCTTAAGTCTTGCTAATCAATATTAATGAAGACACGTGACCCACATGAATGGGCGGGCCGGAAACTGGAGATACTTTCTTAGAGCGAGAAATCACGTTTCACCGGAAACTGCTGGGAACAGAGCTTCTAATCTTCTCTATGTAAAGACATTTCCTGTGGATCTGCTGATAAGCTGTCATCACGTCCCAGCCCACTATACGGAACGAGAGAAGCGTCTTTCATCAGTTTCAAATATTTGCTTGTCTTTTTTTCTGTGTACGTTTATTCGCTATTTATTTAAGATGTCAGTAGCTCAGATTATATCAAGCGGTAGGGCGGTAAATAAATGGAAAGATGTAGAGGCGTGAGCTCGTGGCAACTTAGCGGTACCCTCACTCATGGAGCTGCTAGTTGTGCAACCACTCAAGAATTTCCCTGCATTTTATGGAACCCGAAGGTTCATTACCGTGTTCACAAGAGCCCTCCACTGATCCCTGTCGTCAGCAAGATCAATCCAATGCATACCATTCCATCCTTTCTCTCTAAGGTCCTTTTTAATAATGTCCACCCACCTACTTCTTGGTCTTCCCAGTGGTCTCTTTCCTTCTGTCTTTCCCACCAATATCCTATATGCATTCATTTTCGTGCTACATGTCCTGTCCATCTCACATTTGGCGGTACCATCCCTGAAATTTGCTTCCAGGGACTAAGGAAAAATACGAAAATGTCAGAATATCCAGTCTCCGGACAGAGGTTGAACTCAGAACCTTCCGAATAAAAAGAAGAAACGTTAAGGACTCGACTTGTTGAACATTTTCCATACGATCTAGTTATTACGGTACAGCTTGTGCCATTTCTCCACAGACGAAAAATCGTTTCTAAACATTTTTTTGCTTTTGTCCTTGTTCTGGGGAGTAGTCCGGCCTCAAGTCTGGTTGATTTATACTGGATTAATCCAGGAGTAACATGTCTGATTCATATTCTAAAGGCATCGAGCTCGAATCCGTGTTAAGTGGGTCACTTTTCAGCACAGCACGCCGTGCTCTCAGTTTCAGTTTTGAGGAACGGCCCCAGGGATGGAGGAGCTTGCCGGTAGGATGGGCTAGCTAACATCTCTACGTAAAAACGAGGTACCATATTACGAAATTTTACAACGAATTTTGGATTTCTGCGGATTCTTTGGAACGTTCTAAGCAATGGAAAATGAAACCCGAAATTCCGGACGTGGAATTTTAGTAGTATGTATAGTTAAAGCTCATTTAAATTGGCAGAGTATAAGTTGTATTTAGCACGAGTCGTCTACAGGAGAGTCGGAATAAGAGTGGCTTTGTGTGGTTCAGGATGAAGATCAGTTTTGGGCTTTTGTGAACAAGGGCCTTCGACTTCCATACGAGGCGGTGGAGTTTCTACAGAAGTTGCGCGGCTTTTAGTTCCTCGAGGACTTGCCTCCGTGAGATCAGAAAACGTTCCGAATTTAAACTTGAGGATCAGTTATCTTGACTGAGATATCTCATCGTTTTCCTCAGTCCGTCCAGAGGAATGCTGGGTTATTACCATTAAATAGGCCACATTGGACCATTACAGATCCTGGCCAGCACATTATGTTCGTACACATATTATGTTTCCGGACATGATCCAGCTTTTTGTTTTTATTTAAAGCAATCGTTTCGGAGACTGGATTCTGTCTTCGTCTTCAGGCGAAATCTACTCAGTTGGGCCCAATCGATAGAGCTAATCCCTATCTCCGGACACCAACACAAGATAGGGTATAAAACTAAACACAGCAAAAACTAACTGCACTAGTTAAGATAAACACTAGAAAGAAATCCACAAGTATGAGGCCTAGCACCACAGAACTATCAGAATAGAAGTCATCGCTGGAGAGATAAATTCTCTGTATGGTAGCAACATAAAAATAATTTTCTCACTTAATCTACACTAGACAGAGTTTTAGTTTTTGACTTATGTTAAGTGGATATCACTTCTACGTATTTGGGAGGTAACAGGTAAAGTTTTCCATATGCTTAATTAATTAAGCACCACACCATGAAGACATATGGGGGAGTGGAGGTATAGCTCCATCATTAGTGACCTCGGTAGTAGATGGAAGTGAGTGGTCAGCTTCACGATCCGGCCGCTTTATGCTCGAGGGTAGAGCCCCCCAATACCCGTTTGATAGGAGGCTGGGTGGACCCCAGAGCCGTCCTGGACACTGTGGAGAAGAGAAGAATATCTTCTCCCTGCCGTGAATCGAACACCGGCCGTCCGGCCTGTTGCCCGTCATTATACCAACGATGCTATCCCGATAGGTGTTTATCGTGGTTTTCCTCAGACTCCCACCACACAAAAATGTCTGGATACACTCAAATTACCATCTATTCCTTTCACATCCTTTCCAATTTGTTATTCCCTGGTTTTCCTAGCATTCGACATTATAGCCTAAGCAGATGCGAGCACAGGTCGATACATACTCGCATATCATAGCGGCATTGAGACGAACCCTGTGACTGGTCAGAAAGAAACATAATTTTCATCTTTTCATACAAACCGGTGGGGAGGCCAGCCAATCGTTGTCAGCATAATAGAGGGCAATAGGAACAGTGATCTTGCTCAAGTCGTACTCTGCTACCGCTTTGCACTCCTCCGAACCACTTTCATCCTTTCTGCATCCGGTGTCAAATTGCTGAAATTTACCTGAAAAAAATTAGAAATTTATTTAATAATGAGTTTAAGTTGTCCATTCATCGCCATAATTAGCGTCTCTGAACAAGAGAGTTAAAGCAGTAACATGGCTAATTTCATATTCATGAGGTACTGGGCTCGAATTCTAGCATATGCTTTGCCTGTCTTAACCTCAATTTTCATGGGTTCCCCAACCGTTCACAGAGGAATTGGGGTTCGATTCCCGGCAGGGACAAGAGAAGCTGAGGATTTTATGCAGAGTCCTTACATAACCTACTAGCCTATTAACCATCGCTAGCTGATTAGTGCGTGGTCAGCGCAACGGATCCCACGGCCGTCAATCTCGGTTTTCTAGACCGGAGCCGCTATGTCCTTGAAATAGCTCCTCAGATATCCTCACGAGGCTGAGTGGACCTCGTTCCAGACCCACTACTTCTCAGAAATGTGGTAGCGCCGGGAATCGAACCCGGGACCTCTGGATTTGGTGAAGTGACGGGAAATTTACCCTGTATTTTACCAGGTTGCATTTAATATCTGGTTCTGGAGAAGCTTAGCCAACCAAAAAAATTGGAGATTTTTGTGCAAATCGAAGATTCAATAATATGTTCATAGCAGAAAGCCAGTGGTTCCTGTTCTGAGCCATTGAATCTAATCTACATACGCAGTTCTATTTCTTCAAAGTTTTGTACAATATTATCACGATTTAGGGGTGTGACTCTAGACGGGGTTTTGATTGGTGAATAGATTTACTGACCGCTTATACACACCACTCTGAACTACAAGTAATTACAGCGCCTTCGCTTATCTACACACTTTACAAATCACTACAGCACACGCAAGGCCTCAGTCTTTTACAGTCTTCCCTAGTCATTGCTTGGTAACAGCTCTCAGCAATGGAGATTCTTCAATTTCTGTGCTCACGCCGTTGCCAGCTGGCTAATACTACTCACAACTGAACTCGCTGATCCAACTGTCCTAGTTACATCTTTGCATGGACCACATAGAAAGCACAGTTCTTCTATTGTTGCGTTCGTGTCCGTTGCCGCGGGAAAGTGTTTACCGAGCTGTTGCCCAGAAACGGCCACGGAGCGCGCCACAAAAACACCTTCTTTTGTTGTTTTTGGCGTTAACTAGCAACGGCCGCTGTTTACAGAGGCAATGCTTAGCAACATGTCCATATACCACACTATAATCCCACCATCTACGCCTAGGTCTCCGAAATGGCCTCTTCCTTTGAAGTTTTATGACAGGAATTTTGTATGTATTTCTCAGTTCCCCTATTCGTGCCGCATTTCCCATCCATCTCATCCTCCTTAGTTTGATCGCCCTAATAAAATAATATTTGATGTAATTATAAATTCTGGAAATTCTCTTTGTAAACACTTACGGCTCTGAATCTCTTGAGTGTAATGTAAAATCGTTTTTGTGGACGCCCCAGCAGGTGTTTGGCCCAGAATCACAGGTAACAAAGTCTGAAAACAAAAGAATCAGAGAGGAATGTCTGTCAGTTACTGCGACAAGTACTATCGAGGTCTAGACATGCAATACACGATTTCCTCTTGTCAAGCGAAATAGATGGAAAATACATACAACACAGTCTAAGAGAGGTTCAATAGAAACATGGATGACGACGGCTACTGTCGATCCACTCCGCCAAGTCCCATAAAATCGTCGTTAGCATTGAGATATAATACGAGGGTAAGTCAGTAAGTAAGTTACAAATGGATATAGAACTTAAATAAGAGTACTGATTTGAAAAATTATTTTTTTTCTCAACATAATCTCCCTGTACATTAAGGCACTTGTCCCATCGTTTCACAAGTCCCTGAAAACCAGCAGCATAAAATTCTTTGGGCTGCTGTCGGAACCAGGCGTGTTCACACGGCATGACCTACCTCATAATGCATGACAGGTTAGTTTTTCACAAAGTCTGTGCACGATGGGTGCCGCGCATGCTGATCCCACAACACAAAATGCAAAGAATGGGTCTGGCATTACAGCATCTCAATCGCTACCACGATGAAGGACACGATATGCTAGCCCGAATTGTCACAGGTGATGAGTCTTGGGTTCACCATTACCAGCCCGAGACAAAGCGTGCGTCTGTGCAGTGGAAACATTCTGCGTCGCCTGCCAAAAAAAGTTTAAGGTGACACCATCCTCCAGGAAAGTGATGCTCACAGTCTTCTGGGATCACGAAGGCATACTGCTCACCGCATTCCCGCCTCAAGGACAAACCGTAAATGCCGACTCCTACTGTAACATCCTCAGGAAACTTCTTAAGGCCATTCATCGGAAGCGACCAGGACTCCTCACCAAAGGCGTGTTGCTCTTGCACGACAACGCGCGTCCCCCTACTGCCAACAAGACAAATGTGACGCTGCGAAATTTCAAGTGGGAAGTCCTCGAGCATCCTCCGTATAGCCCCGACCTTGCTCCAAGCGACTTCCGTTTGTTCGGCCCTCTTAAACATCATCTTTTTGCTGAAGATTTTCCCGATAATGAAGCTGTAGGAAAGGAAGTCACCGCCTGGTTCTGACAACAGCTGAAAGAATTTTATGCTGCTGGTTTTCAGGGGCTTGTGAAACGATGGGAGAAGTGCCTCGATGTTCAGGGAGATCATGTTGAGAAATAAAAGAATTTTTCAAATCAGTACTCTTATTTGTTTAAGTTCTCTATCCATTTGTAACTAACTTATTGAATTACCTATGTACTACATTACAATGAGTAACAGAACCGGATGCCTTTCTCACAGAATTCCGTAGTTTATTAGTTAAAACCAATCGCCTACAGGTTTTCTTCTTTTGCATCTTAACGTCGACTGAATGCGGCATCCCGTGTTTTACATATATCAAAATATTATAATATTGTCACGCGTGAGGGGCTAGCGTGACTAACAACAGTGGGTTCTGGATTTGATGATTAGGTTTATTGGCACTTCTTTACAATTACAATCAATTATAACAGCTCACATATTGAATTCCTACTGAACGACGTATGTTTGACGAATGCTCTGAAGTCTGAGTCTGAGTCTTATGTTACGACCGACGCTCAGTTGGTCAGTCTGACTTGGAATAAAGCACCCATCTGGGGCTTAAGACCAGATTTTTATTACTGTCAGACAGTTTCGGGTTTGTTGATGAGGGGCGCTCTTTCTGACTAGAGGACGGGCTGTCGTTTACAGTTGCTGCTGGCCTTCGCCAGCGCAGTAATTTTCGGGTCCGAGTCCCGTGGGTCTCCCTGGTTCAGGGCCGCCACTATAAAGTTTACTGTTGCTAAACTGAGCCAACAATACACACGTTTTGAGCTGCTCTGAATGCCGCCTGTCTGTGTCTGTGTATCATTGTGTTTGTGCGCATGTACGCCGTGATAGCGCCTGAAAGATTGGACGGATTTTAATCATATTCGGTATTTAGGAGTTTATTCGTCAGAGGTCGGTGTTCGGGAATCCAAACTTTCTATTTGCAAAAATATGGACCCTCCCTCAGATGGGCCCCAAGAAGCCAAATGTCTACTTTCTATCGAACTGCCCTAACGGTTGTTATTTAATCCCTAGTAATTTATGGATACCATCTGTTTAAATAAGACTGCATAAATGGTATTTTCAGAAAGAAAATAACGGTTCGCACGCTAGGGGCGCAAAAGCGAAATGGGCTTGAACGGTTGGACGGATTTCGTTGGTATCAGGTATTCGGTCAAGGTCAATCTTATATAAGAAAGTATGTGCAATTTCTTTCCAATGGTTTTTATCTTACTTTCCTCATTTTGGAAAAAGAAATAAAAATTGGCTTATGAAATCACCTTGCTGTCTGTGTATCCCCTCCCATCAACTCTTGAATGCCTGAACGAATCTTTATGAAACTTTGTATGTATATCATGACATCTGAGACCATATCAGCGGCGTATTTTATAAATCCATCCCGTCATTCTGTTTGTATGTGTATCGCTACCCCCATCGTTGCTAGGCAACGGCTCGGTAAACTTGTTCCAGCTGCAGCTTATACACACAACAATAGGGGAATTGTTGGACACAGCGTTTTATATGCTTTCCGTGCCGAATAAAAGGAGACTGAATATCTGAGTGCTAAATTGCTGCTGGCCCTCGACAGCACAGTGATTCTTGGTTCCGAGTCTCACGAATTTCCCATGGTCACATTTTACTGTCTGACGGCTCTGGGAGCCTTCCAGACCCACTCAGTGGATCAAAGGAGAGTCTTTATATCTGTCTGTGTATCTGTCTATCGTTCTCGCGGCAACGGCTGAGTAAACACGTTCCCGCTGCAACGAAGAATTGTTGGAAATGTCTTTTTCTATGCGGTCCGTGTCATATCAAAGGAAAGTAGGCGATTAGTTCTCATAGCTTTTTGTTGGTATTATATTCCTGCCTATTGTAGGGTCTCCCAAAGTGGTCTTTTCTCCTCAGGGCTTTGTACAAAAATGTGTATGTTAATTGAATAGTACTTACCATATTGAATTGTTGTGCGTCAAACCCGGCGACGACGAAAATGAGACCTTCACAAATCTGCTTTTCTATAGTTACAAGCTGGCAACCGACTTTCTCTAACCACTGGATTATTTTGTTGTGAGGCAGGAATTCTCCAGTTCCCAAGTAATGGGAAATATACTGCAACAACAGACATACCGTCAAGAGTTACTTTGGCATTAGAATTTTTACATATTAACTAATTAACGAACCCACTAACTAACGGAGTGACTCAGTCAATGTAATGATTAGGTTGCCGGGTGGACGTACGTAGACTCGGATTTCGATTCCCGGCTGGGGTAGAAATTTGTCTCTTTACCGCCGTGTCCAGACCGGTTCTGCCACCCACCCAGTGGACACTGGGGGCCCTCTCCCCGGGAATAAAGCGTACGGGGCATGGAGTTAATCAGTAACCCCCCACATCCAGTACGGAGGTGCGTGAAGTTGTAGCTCTACTCTTTAATTAATCACAAGAATAAATTTAATTTAATGTCTTACTTCTAAATATCAACTTTAGCGGATAGATGGTGTCACGTGGTCAGCGCAACGAATCCCCACGACTTCGTCGACAAGCTGCGATCGCTCGGTCGGTGTAGTTCGCTTGCGGACTAAAGCCACTCAGTTTTTTTTTCTTACCTCTATGTCTCTCGAGAATGGAGCCAGAAGCCTTATGGGACTCTTGACATTCCCCATGAATGCTACAGGCGCCAGGCTCACCATAAACTGCACTTTGTCATTGTATTCGGGTCTCATGGTTGTCAATACGTAGAACATAGTTGTGCCCATAGAATGGCCGACGTAGAACAGTTTCTTGTGATTGGTGATGTTAAGAATCCAGTCGATTTCTGCAGGAAGGTCGTGGACACCCATCTCGTGAAAACTACGCCAAAGAAATGAAGTAGCAAAATATGTATTTTCTGTTTGTGAATGGACGCCAAAATTAGCATATTCAGTGGTACAAACGACTATTATCTTACAATGGAAGACGCACAACTTTGCAGTTAATTGTAAATATTGTCACGATTTACGGGGTTATTGCCTGACTTGTAAGATGGGTAAACAAAGTAAAAGTAAAGCTATCCCTGTAACAGGCCGTGAAGGCCCATAGGGTTGTGAGACGTTGAGGGTCCCACATTATCTAGACAATCGGCTCAAAGATGGCGGTAAGGTTGTCAGCCTTACGCGCCGGCCGCGCTTTACTCCCCAGAAAAATTATTTAATTAATTCCTGGTACTCATTTCTCTTAGAATCTGAGTCGACCCCAGGACCTAGTGCGGCCAGAAGAATTAGGTCAATTGAAAAAATCCAATGACCTCATCGGGACTTGAACCCGCGACCTTCCGGCTTGTAGAAAAGTGCCTCAAGGCCGGTTCTGGATTGAATGATTGGATTTATTGGTACCTTATACACATAACTCGGGACTGCAGGCAATTACAGCGCTATCTCTGATCTACGCACTTTGCAGTTCACCGTTGCACACGCACTAGGTTTCTGTCTTCACTAGTCGTATCCTGGCAACAGATTTATACCAGTCTCACTGCCACTTCAGATCACATGAAATCTTCTTGTCACAGTCTAATTCCTTTCTTGCCGTTTCTTCTCAATCACCTTGGACTGCCATCTCCAGAATTCGATCCAGTTCTTGACAACAACAAACTGCTCAAAAGTCAAATTCACATTGCGACTGGCGGTCAGTCATTCAGTAAGTCTTGTTGTCGAGTCCAAGCCCAAGTCCAAGTCCAATCCACATTGCGACTGACGATCAGTCAGTCTGTCTGTCTTGTTGTCGAGCACCAGGGTCCTGTCCATTTTGGGCGACCTCTCTGACGAGAAGTCGGATCTGTCATTTGTCAGTCATAGTCCGTATTAGTAAGTCCATTATCAGTATTTACATATATTTACAGATTTAATCTTAATTCCTATTTCGTTGTACAATTTATACAAGGCCTCTGTCAGTCCAGGCTCAGTACAACAGATTATGCCCTATTTCACATTGGAACTTTTCGTTATATAGCCTCGGGGCGGACCCCACGGAAAGAACAGTCCTCTGTTGCCCCTTATTGTTTTAGGCGTGTTTACTGATCGGTTACCTAGCAATAGAAGTCCTATTGTTGCACGTTGGCTCCCACGGGAATGTGTTTACCGAGTCGTTGCCTAGTAATGCGTCTATACGTCACAATATATTTACCATCTTATCCAAGTGAACAAAAAAACGAGTGTATGAGTTACACACACCACTGGCATAACTCCTTCACGAGCCAGTACTTATTGAACATGCGAATATACATCTACTGCAGACTGCAGATTTTATATATGTGAAAAAATGATCCTTGAGATCAATGAATCAGCGAAGATTGCATTATAGTCTGTCTCCTGAAGTACGTATCTAATGCCCCACTACAGAGCAGGTTTTCATAGCGGTCATACTTTATACTTGTGTTCTGGGCGTACCACTTTCGAATCCCAACATGAGTGAGGTTCCCCCCCTCTTTACTTCAGATTTCCTTCCAGAATTTTGTATGGATTTCTCTTTTCTCCAGTGCATGCTACATGCCACTTGTCCCCCTTGATGTGATCGTCCTTGTAATAATTGACGGCCGGTCACAGTAGCTGCGCGGTCTAAGACATGAACTGTCTTCGCTCGTTCGGACGCTGGGATCGTGGGTTCTTCGAATCCCACTCAAGGCATGGATGTTTGGTGTGTATGAGTTTGTTCTGTGTTTAGATAGCGGCCTTGCGGCGGGCTGTTCACTCGTTAAAGGAGTCTATGAAAACTGATTACGGAACTGAATAAGAGGCCTGGGCCCTGAATGGCCTGAAAGAGCCATTGAAGAAAAAATCAATAATTGACGAATGGTGCAAATTATAAACCTCTTCCTTACAGGTGGGTAGCTTTCTGCAGCCCCTATTACTTCCTATCTCTTCATTGCAGATAGGTAGCTTTCTGCAGCCTCTGTTACTTCCTACCTTTTCATTACAAGTGGGTAGCTTTCTGCAGCCTCTGTTACTTCCTACCTCTTCATTGCAGGTGGGTAGCTTTCTGCAGCCTCTGTTACTTCCTACCTCTTCTTTACAGGTGGGTAGCTTTCTGCAGCCTCTGTTACTTCCTACCTCTTCATTGCAGGTGGGTAGCTTTCTGCAGCCTCTGTTACTTCCTACCTCTTCTTTACAGGTGGGTAGCTTTCTGCAGCCCCTGTTACTTCCTACCTCTTCATTGCAGATAGGTAGCTTTCTGCAGCCTCTGTTACTTCCTACCTTTTCATTACAAGTGGGTAGCTTTCTGCAGCCTCTGTTACTTCCTACCTCTTCATTGCAGGTGGATAGCTTTCTGCAGCCTCTGTTACTTTCTACCTCTTAATTACAGGTGGGTGGCTTTCTGCAGCCTCTGTTACTACCTACCTCTTACGTATTCATATTCTCCTGAGCGCCCTGTTCTCATTTTCCTCAGTCTTTATTCTTCGCTGAATGTGAGAGACCAAGTAGTGAACTTTTCCCCATAATATAAATGTCCGCGCCCTTTCTAGAAACTTACCTGAAGTTCCAGAACTCCGGGTCATCAGTGGACAGGGTAACATGGGCCCTGGAATACGTGTTTCCTCTGCAATTGCCTAACCACACGTCGTAGCCGAGGTCTGCGAGAATATACGCTACGGAGAAAGGAAATCTCGAGCATTAGACTTACTAGAAGATATGAAATTAAATTATTTGCAACTGGGTGATGTAATAACATTTTATGGGGCATTCCTTATGGGAATACATTTTTTAGCCAAGAAGCCACTTGAACAGTTTTACAACAGCGGGAATATGATCTTTCACTGCCTCAATTAGTGAACTGTTTTACTTACATAAACGAGTAGGTTACAGGCTGCACGATGGAAGAGTCGGGGTTAGATTCCCGGCAGGGGTAAGAGAATTATTTTCTTTTCTACAGTGTCCAGACCGGCTGTGGGGCCAACCCAGCCTCCTATACATTGGGTACCGGGGGCTCTTTCGCCTTATATAAAGCGGCCGGTGCGTGAAGCTGACCAGTCGCCTCCAACCCGTGCCGAGATTAAGAACGGTGGCGTTATCTTTCATCTCCCCGTACGTCTTCATGACTTGGTGTTTAATGAAAAAGGCCCAGGGATATTTTACCTTTATCTTTACAATTTCTTTACTCATATACATTGTCGCATGTCGTGAACCCGGAACAGATACTTCCATGGAAACGCAATAGCAGTGGACCGTTGCGTAGGAATTGCCAAAAAACACACCCGTTTCCCCGGATATGAAAGCACAACGGATGGCTCGTTGCAAAACAACGGCTGAAACCAAACACTTCTACAAAGTGTTCCTAAGCAACGGATTGTTCCTTGCGCAACAACGGATGAAATTAACCCTTCCATAAGGTATCCTCCATCCCGTCCGAACGCTGGATATATAAGAGAGTCCAGCTCCCAGTCGTAGGAGGCGGGTTCGAATACCTCCACCATGCCCCTGCGAGTGGTAGGAGGCGACCAAAAGGGAAGTCTCAAATCTGAGACAGTAAAATATGGTCACGAGTCTCATGGCACTCGAATCAGAGAAAGACTGCGCTGGCAAGTACCAGCAGCATATACAAAAGACAGACCCGTCCTGTCGTTAGAGAGGATGCCCCACAAAAACAAGACCGTAACTGTCAAACAGTAATGAAAATCTGGTCGTGATCCTCAGATGGGGCTCGACACCAAGACTTACTGACTGACCGACCGTCAGTTGCAATGTGACTTTGACTTTGTGAGTTAGTTACTTAGTTTTCAGAGACAGTTGAAGTCTAGCAACCACCGAGAACAGATATGGCTAAGTGTGCAGTACAGCTGCGACGTAAGACGGCAACGAGATTAACGGTACAAGAAGGGGCCGCGCCATAGCTCAAGCGGCGGCCCGGGTTCGTTCCCGGCTCTGGTCAAGGCGGGATTTATGGTGGACAAAGTGACGCTGGGGCAGGTTTTCTCTGAGTACTTCGATTTCCCCTGCCAATCTTCATTCCACCAATTGCTCCACAATCACCCTCACCTATCATCTGGGGCTGGTACAATAGGCCAAAAGTGGCCACAGTACAAGGGACTTAGTCGCACCCCACTAGCAATAAAAAACGGTATAAAGAAAATTGTGATACGGAAGGTGATAATAATTGTACTCACTAGTGTAAAAGTGAGCGTTCAATAATTTTTTTGCTGAATCTGACTCGTGACAACTGGTTTCTCAGAAGTGGGTTACCACGGTAACACGCGACAATAGTTTATCGTGTACATATAGAAGACTTACCTATCTTATGAAAAATGGCATGTTGACCTAAACCGAGTTGAAGTGATAACATAACCTAAAATAATTTCCTATCATACGTCAATGAACCCTTTCGCTGCATATTATTTTCTCGCAGCTGTCCTAGAATAATGTCATCTTAAGGTAAACTTATAACAAAACGCAAAAAAGTAGCCCATTGAATGAAATCGAATGAAGCCGCGAAAGATTATTTTTTTGATCTGGACTAAAGTCGGATATCGCACTGAATGGTGATGGATCCTTGTTCGGCTCAAGTCGAATATCGCACTGAAAGGTGATGGAAGCTTATTCGACTCAAGTCGAATATCGCACTAAAAGGTGATGGATGTTTGTTCGACTCAAGTCGAATATCGCACTGAAAGGTGATGGATGCTTGTTCAATTCTATTCGAATAAAGCACGAATAGGGCTAGTAAAACAATACAAATGTATGCCAAGCATTTGTTACGTGACGTCAGTACTTACCTAAACTTTTTTCGGGACCATTGGTTACCCAGGTCGATGAGCTTGCCAAGAGGCCATGTTGCAGCATCACAGGTGTCCGGGTAGAGTTGTACACAGACTTTCTTCCATGGGGAATCCGGTGCAGTGTGAGCAAGTATCCGTCATCGGTGACTACAGTGTGGGACTCAGCCGGATAGCCGTACTTGCGGATCACTTGTGGCTGCACACACATAATTTATTTATTTGTCGGACTGGTTTAGGATGGAATGGTATGGATTAGATTGATGTGGTTCAGGATAGGACCAGTGGAGGGCTCTTGTGAACACGGTAATGAACCTTCGGGCTCCATAAAATGCTGGGATTTTCTTGAGTAGCTGCAGAATTTGTGGCTCCTCCAGAAGGGCTCAGCTCCATGAGTAAGTAAGTAAGTCGAGGGCTGCGCCATAGCTCAAGCAGTTAGTCGCTGGCTTCCCACCGCGGCGGCCCGAGTTGGACCCCGGGTCTGGTCAAGTGGGATTTGTGGTGGACAAAGTGTTGCTGGGGCAGGTTTTCTCCGAGTACTTCGGTTTCCCCTGCCAATCTTCATTCCACCAATTGCTCCACAATCACCCTCGCCTATCATCTTGGGATGGTACAATAGGGCAGAAGTGGCCGCAGTACAAGGGACTTAGTCCCACCCCACTAGCAATAAAAAGAAAGAAGTAAGTCGAACTGATTATGGTCGAATTGCTAGTCCTGCTTCGTATTTAAGAGGTCCTGGGTCTTACATCCCCTCCCCTCGGATGCTGGTTACCCTGCCTGATGGGTTTTTGTGGTTTTCCTCAGGGATAGAATTGTGATATGACGGCTGGAAACAGGAAGAGTGGAGTCGGAGCGAACGTCCATTGCCGAGGAACGGCTTGGTAACCACGTTCTCTCTGCAGCGATTAGCAATGAATGAGTCGTTGATCGGTATCAGGGACATTCCCGTGACAACGGAAGGAATTGACTGTTCGACTTGGTGACTTCTATTCGGACCCGAAATGACTGCGCTGGTGAAAGCCAAGAACAGTTGTAAAACACAGACCCTTCTTCTCGTCAGAGAGAGCGCCTCACATCAACAAACCCGCAACTGTCTGACAGTAATAAGAATCTGGTCTTGAGCCCCAGTTGGGTGCTGTATTCCAAGACAGACTGGCCGACTGACCGTCGGGCGTAACATAAGACTCAGACTCAGACTCAGACTCAGACTCAGATCGTATAGTAGAGATCAGTCGGAGATTCGTGAGAGAATCGTCAAACAGACGTCGTGCAGAAGGAGTTCAATGTGTCAGTTATTATAATTGACTGTGATTGTAAAGAAGTGCGAATAATCCCAATCATCGAACCAATTATTATTATTAGTTACGCCAACCCCGATACGTGACAGTACCTTAAATTAGGCCATGACTATTCGTATTACATGCCACCAGTTCACTTGTCAGTCCGCCAAACAACGCTGTATGCTACAAACTGCTGACTGACACCATGGAGCGGAGTCCTTCTTGAGGTACCGCCAATTCAGCTGCTACGCAAGAATTTCCCAGCATTTTACGGAAACCAAATGCTTAGCACCGTGTTTGCTAGAGCCCACTACTGGTCCCTATCCTGAGCCAGATTAACCCAGTCTATACCACCCCATGCTATTTCTCTCAGATCCATTTCAATATTATCCTCCACCTACGTCTAGGTCTTCACGGTGGTCTCTTTCCTTCTGACTCTCCCACCATAATCACCATGCTCGCTATATCCCCTTCCCATCTCATCCTCCTTAACCTGATCACTCTAATTATGATTAGCGAAGTGTATGAGTTATGAAGCGCCTCGTTATGCATTTCTCCCATTACCCTACACCTTTCCGGTCCAAATGTTCTTCCGATATCATAATTGATTGAATCATAAATACAAATTATGTAAGAAAACTCTAATTTAGTCAGTGTAGAAGGAGCGGTTGTGGCCTAATTTACAGCGTTAGTCTATTGTTTGCTTGCAGGGACTGATTTCTCTCTTCTGGGTTTTAACGCCATGTAGTCCGCTGGAAGTCAGAGACTGCGTGTTACTTCAAAACGCTGGCTGACTCACTGGAGTACACAGTATTATATTGTGGCATATAGACCCGTTGCTAGGCAAAGACCTCGAAAGAAACAACGAGACAACAGAGTTACTGTTGGAAACTGTGTTTTGTACTCTGTCCGTGCAAAGGTGTTATAAGGAAGACAATTGAGGCGAACTTGTTAATAGTCAGTTGAGAGTTCAGTTCTGCAAGGGAGGCTGAGGCGATATGGCGCTATAATTAAGTGAAATTGCGAGCTGTGGACTGTTAGCCAGCGGGCAACGGCGTCACCACGGAAGCTGAAGAATCTCCAGTGTTGACAGCTGTTACGAAGCAACGACTAGATAAGACACTGCAGGCTAGAGAAGTCAGCGTGTAGTGATTTGTAAAGTGTAGAGACCTTTTATATCGTCATTAAGTGCTTGTAGTTCCGAGGTGTGTGTATTATGTGGTCAATAAGTCTATTCACCAAACCAAACCCCGTCTATAGTCACACATACTACGTGACAGTATGACCCTTAAGATAAAACTCTTCATAGCAACCACTGGGAGAACCTCAAATACAACACCCGTAAGTTTAGCCAGCATTATTTTAAAACTGAAGCGATTTATTTTAGTTGTTGGCAATACTGTAGTGAAATGTGCATTAACGTTTCAGGCGGACAGTTGAACAATTTTCATAGTTTTTTTTTTATTGAGTAAGATTTACTTTGAATAATTTTATATTGAAGATACCGTGAAAGTTTTAATTGAAATTCCTTTTTTTCTGATAGCCATGATTCCTTAAATTTACCAAATTTCATCTATATTAAGAGAACTTTCTTCTCTGTAATATGAAGTTTGTCGAATTCCTCCTGAACCGTCATGCACAGCCTACAAGTCCTATTAATAATAGCACGAATAGGGAGTTGAGGAGAATATTTGGACCGAAGAGAGGTGAATGACAGGAGGTTCGGGAAAACTGCACAATGAGGAGCTTCATAACTTGTACTCTTCTCCAAGTATAATTAGAATGATCAAGTCAAGGAGGATGAGGTGGGCATGGCATGTAGCACGAAAGGGGGAGACGAGGAATGCGTATAGGATATTGGTGGGAAAGCCAGAAGGAAAGAGACCACTGGGAAGACCAGGCGTAGGCGGGTGGACAATATTAAAACGGATCTTAGAAAGATAGGATGGGATGGATTGGATTGATCTGGCTCAGGATAGGGACCAGTGGAGGGCTCTTGTGAACACGGTGATGAACCTTCAGGTTCCATAAAATGCTGGAAAATTCTTGAGTAGCTGCAGAATTGGCGGCTCCTCCAGAAGGGCTCAGATCCACGAGTAAGTAAGTAAGTAAGTAAATATAGATTCGTGTAATAAAATGTGATTTTTGTTAATACACATACACCTCTCCCTGAAATTAAATGTTACTCCCGCTGATTAACTTACCGTTGTCAGGTCCACATCAGCGTTGTAGCTTGCCTCCACCTTGTCATCCTTCACTGAGACAGTCCACAGGGTCAGGACGGTGGCAAGGATGAAAGACTTCATGGTGCGTCTAGCTGTCAGCTCGGTCCGTCCCAAACTGCTTTCCGTTTCCCAGCGAATTAAGCCCTCACTGCCTCGAACTTATCCTTAAATACCACCTGTGTCTGTGTACAGTCCCAGCCGGCTGGTTGTGGAGCAACAGAGTGGATTTTTCAGTCGCGTTGCAGCTAACCCTGAAATACATTCGTTCCTCCCTTAATGTCAGAGACCAATTTTCATACCCATACAGAACCACAAGCAAAATTATAATTTTGTATATTCTGACTTTTATGTTTTTAGACAGCAGACGAGAAGACTAAAGGTTTTGGACTGAATGGTAGCAAGCATTACCTGAATTCAGTTGAGCTAACCTCAGCCTTAATTCATTTTTTTCTGTAAGTTACCTTTAGTAACATTCATTTTTATTTAAGCATCCAGTTAAGGGTACTTTGTTGCATTCCTATATGTTACTTACAACTGTCGTCAGGGTTTTCTCTCTGCGCATATGTACTTAGAAAAATTAGATGCTAGAACATTTGCAAGAAATGAAGTCAGACAGTCATTTTTTGTATCACCAGAGTGTACTTATTACTCATCATAGCAGACCTCAACATTGCAGACTTCAAGGCTTTTCCGTCTAGCCTTCCTAGTAAACCTTTGACCCATTAGTCACTACTTTGAAAATAGATCGATCGGAGAACTGTATTATCGACGCAAGATTAGATTTTTATGCTCCATTTTGTTTTTACTCCAGTATTGGTCTGTGTAACATATTCGGTCTCAAAATTATTAATGTAAACCAAAACGCGTCGAATTTAAAACATGATTTGCTTTGTACAGAATGCAGAGAGAAAGATAAGGACTAGTTTTTGTTTTGAAAAAATGAGCTTGGCAATGCCCAACCGGCCCTCTGTAGCAAATTCTTATAAACATCTCATTCTATCATGGCGGTCGTCCGCTATTTGTAAACATGTGCCTTAACTTAACTCTAAGAATATACTATTAATATTTTTACATATACTTCATTTTTATTAAAGTGTATAATAAAATGTATTGTAGATGTTATCTACTGTCATTCTCAACTTTGAACCGAAGATATACCATTACATTATTTAAGCATATATTTTGTAGTTGAAGTGTGTATATATTTTTTGTGCTTCTCTTTATAAACGCATGCTCTAACAGTAAAAATGCTCTACGCACACTATATTCATGGGAAATAAATAAAACAGTACAAAAAACAATTGAAGGGCCCACAGCAAAAGAAAAAACGGGGAACCTCCAGTTCTAGCATAAATTTAGTCTTACATTGTTTCGTATACAATATACAGGGATGATTTTTACTTTGTAGACCGGTTCCACGGCGACCGGTGCCCCGCCGGCTGCGAGGCGCATATAGCATTTTGATGACCGATAACGTTGGGAATGAAGTAGTTACACGTGACACATCACAGGAGGCGCTGAAAAAATTCTATTCCTCTACACGCAGATATCTTTCTCAATTAATTATTTCGTTAAGACAATTCTTCTTGCACTTACAGCACGCCAGACACCAAATTTCACTGGATGCAGCGGGACATCATGGGTTAGATGTGGAGTCTGTGAATTCCAGTAGCAATTATTTTGCGTATTTATGCATCCCTGCCAGTGAAACCACGCTTCATCAGAAAAGAATGCTAATTGCGGTTCGATCTCACCTTCGACAACAGACTACAGAAACCAGCTGCAAAAATGGACCCTCCTAGTTTGATCTCGCGGCTGCAAGGTGTGCATGGATTACTGTTGTTTTATAAGGTCTAAGCTTCAGCAGTTGTATTGCCGTTCTTGCATCAGACTTTGACACTGCAGTCTCTTGAGCTACACGTTTCAGGGATATTCTAGGTGTATGTTCAGTTCTGTCCCCAATGCCAGCTCACTTCTCTTCACTAAGCATTCGGAGCCTTTTGTGTTTCTTGTCTATTGAGAGTCTCATTGTTTTAAGTTTATTCACCAAATTGTGAATCGTTTGTCTGCTGGGAGCTTTTTCACCACGGAATTTACTTTGAAATTTTTGCCGACATTTTCTAGCTGATCCATATTTCATATAGGTGACGTACAGAAATTCACGTTGCTCTAGAGTATACTGCACCATGACGTAACACGCTGCTCACTAATTGTAACTGAGAACAAACGGCTAATTGAGCTGATAACTGCCGCCTACTGCTGACAAATCATAAACAAATTAACACGCGTGAACCTCATTGCTCACTATGAAACATAATGCCGTCAAGAGGTCCACAAAATTAATAACTTACCTTAATTCCAAGCGTTATTGGGCATCAGGCATACTGATTCATTGGCAAAATTCGTATGCTCCTCGTAGCAAGCATCGCACCGGTCGCCGTGAAGCGCAGAGCCGTGAACCGGTCAACAAAGTTAAAAGGCCCTCTGTGTAAAATGTCCCCCGACGTTCTGGCCGAAAACGTGGTGTCTTAGTGATTAGTTACAATGTTACAGTGGAAATTGAACGAATGTGCAGTGTGATTTTAAATGAGTTTTAAAAATATATTTTGTTTTCCCCCAAAATGGAATAATATCCCTTTTGCACTTGACCTAACACACTTCTAACGACATTTTATTCGGCCTTACCTTTTGGTAAATACTGATAAATATATCGTAGAAGGAACTCGTCATTCATACTGTCGCTCAGTCACTGTCACGAATCACGCATATTTTCATTATCATACTGTCAGCACTTCGAACTGTTTTGTTGCGTCATTCATATTCTCGTTAGCTTAGTTTCCGACCTCTGAAAGAATTCAACATGGCGTGACAGTAGTACTTTAATCGATAGCGTCGATAGTTCAGATTCTGTCGCAAGATAGACGTATAATACAGCAATACAAACGCTGGTGGTGACCTCTCTGGGCCGATAGGTGAATTTGGTACCGTTGATTACATGAATATAGTAATATCGTAATGTGTTATACAAGTAGTAGTAGTAGTAGAGTAGTAGTAGTAGTAGTAGTAGTAGTAGTAGTAGTAGTAGTAGTAGTAGTAGTAGCTGTCATGTTCAACATTCAGTAATCAGATACACCAGAGTCTCCATCTTTAACGTAGTCACTGTATAATAACAAAAAAAAAAAAAAAAAAGCGAAAGATTTATTTCAAGAAATGTAAATACATAATTTATTTGCTTTATGTTTCACGGTGATTAATAATTAACGTAAATTCCGTTAATGGATTGTTACACTGTTTGGATGTGGCCGATGTTAACGTTTCGGAAGTACACGCTACCTCGAACTTTAGGGTCGAAATGCGTAAAACGGGCAATTTTTTTATATTTACAAGAACTTTTTTTGAAACAAAATCTTATGTACAGTTGTACCTCTGTTCATGACTTCTCGATTTAAGATCACATTAAATTATAATCCATTAGACTTAGGGCCCTAAAGGCCGCGTCATAGCTCAAGCGGTTAGTCGCTGGTTTCCCACCGCGGCGTCCCGGCTTAGGTCATGTGGGATTTATGGTGGACAAAGTGGTGCTGGGGCAGGTTTTCTCCGAGTACTTCGGTTTCCCCTGCCAGTTTTAATTCCACCAATTGCTCCACAATCATCCTCACCTATCATCTGGGGCTGGTACAGTAGGCCAGAAGTGGCCGCAGTACAAGGGATTTAGTCCCACCCCACTTGCAATAAAAAAAATAGATCCATAAATCTCAATTTGAATTCGATGGGGTTCTGGAGATTTCGGATTTTACTGAAAGGAAATTTAACTGTTTATACAGTTTCGTAAATTCTCTGGTGGCTCGAATCGTAACTGTTAACGATACATGATAAAACATAAATAAAAAAACCCCCGTGGTTTTAGTCCGCAAGCTAACTATACCGATCGAGCGACCGCCGCTTGTCGGCGAAGTTAGTGCCAACTTTTTAGTGGATAGAGGGTGTCGCGTGGTCAGCGAAGCGAATCCCCACGGCCGTTATTTTCGGTTTTCTAGGCCGGAGCCGCTATTTCCTTGAAATATCTCCTCATTTATCGTCACGAGGCTGTGTGGACCCCGTTCCAGACCCACTACTTTTTAGAAAATCTGGTAACCCCAGGAATCGAACCCGGCCTCTGGATCTGTAGCCAGGAACTCTGACCACTAGACCACGAAGCGGTCATAAACATAAATAACTTACTTATTTTTAATAGTTTAAAGGCTTAATGCAGTGTTATTTGATTTATCTGTTGATTCTGTAATAAAAACAATAGAATTTTAGTGTAATAGGGGCTGAAATATTGAAAAATTGGTCTGAGCCTTCAGCAACAAGAACTTACGTTCCTTGTTATAGTAAACTGACTTAGACCAGTTTTGGGGAACACATTGGCTCCTTAGCACGAGGTGCAACTGCATACACTTCTACTCCCCTACTTTACACATATCCACTGTGAAGCTAGAGTCAGCATGTACCTACGAAACGTCGGCAGCATATCTCACATCTGCACAGTGTAAGAACCCAACAATGGAATTAACATCAAGTACATAACCTATGTAGTTTATTGCAGGTACTTCATCCGCTCAACATACTTTGAGTTTTCGTAATGCCCGTAACTCTAGCACTCACAACCAATCTTATATCCTATCGACACTTTTACGTTTAGTATAGTCAAACCCATTCAAAACAATATATTGTTGTTTACTTACAAGCGCCTTTACGAAGCCATTATTAACTATATCTGAGAACACACTTCATGTTATCATGTATGGAGCGTGACTCTAGACGGTGTTTGGATTGGTGAATAGATTTACTGACCGCTTATACACACCACTCGGAACTACAAGCACTTACAGCGCCACCGCTAACCTCCACGATTCACAGATCACCACAGCACCCGCTAAGACTTTTCCAGCATGCTCTGTCTTCACTGGCCGTTCCCTGGCAACAGCTTCTAACAGTGGATATTCTTCAACTTCACACGCTTATGTCTTAGCTTCACGGTCTCCCGTGCAGAACAGAACTGAACTAATTTCATCTCTTATTTATAACGTCTCGGCATGGACCACATAGAAAACATCGTTCTTCTATTGTTGCGTTCGTGTCCTTTGCCGCGGGAACGTGTTTATCGAGCCGTTGCCCAGAAACGGACGCTGTTTACAGAGTCACGCTTAGGAGCGGTCGTATACGCCAAAATATCATCGTGATATAATAGAAAAAACTTAAACAGCAAACGATGTTTATCGAATGCAAGACATTGCGTAAGAAATCATTGAATCTAAATGGCGCTGTTAAGGTTTAGAGAGCAGGTTAATGATAATCTAAAATATATAGCATCTTAAATAAAATTTGAAAGTTCCGAACAAAGAAATAGGCTTCACACTATTTGACAGTAAGTGAAGAGCACAATAATCGTACATCATCAAGCGCGATAAATTTGGTTTAATTACATGGAAACCTTTACATGTTTCGGTCTTAAGAGACCATCATAAGAGGGTGCTCAACACGCGAGGAAATGCTTTACGGTTATGAAGGTCAACTGTTACCCAGTTCTGCCCCCGTAGCGTTAATTAATTACATTTATAATTACAGTAAAAACGAAAGCTATTCAATGGGGTCTAAAAGTTCGTAACGAAGGTATATTGTAGCATGTACAGCCGTTGCTGTGCCATAGGCGTACAAACAAACAACTCGGTAAACACGTTCCTGAGGAAAGGAATATGCACTTAACATTAGACTTACTGTTGGAAACGGGATGCTTTCAATGTAGTCCGTGCCGAGATATTTTGAGCAGTACAATTTTAAGCAACTTGAGTTCTGAGCGGGAGGCTATGAAGATAGGACCTGAGCGCGGGAAGCTGAAGAATCTCCACTGTTAGAAGCCGTTGCCAGGTAACGGCTGATGAAGATACAGTAGGCTGGGAAAAGGCTAGCGAGTGCTGTGGTGATTTGTAAAGTGTGGAGATTTGTGATAGCGCTGTACTTGTAATTCCGAATGGTGTGTATAAGTGGTCACTAAACCCATTCACCAATTCATGCTCCAGTCTGCAGTCAGAGCCCTAAATCGTGACACATCATGTCAGAAGTTGGCTGTGCGATATTATTACAGTTATTGTGTTTCTTGACATTATCATTATTCAGTTATTTACCACGTCAGTGATAAAGCATACAGTTTTTATCGTGTTAAAGTGTTTTATAGGATTTATTGTTTAATTATTTTACATAAACTCATACTATATTCTTCTTAGAAGCTGTGTGTGAAGGCTTCATTATTCCCCGCATGTTGAGGTCTTTTTGATGATGGCCTCTTAAGACAGAAACATGTAAACTTCCTTTGTTTTACATTAAATAGTTCTGTGGGAACTGCCCACATTCAAGCAAGTGTGACAACGCAAGCGTCATTGCTTAGCAACGACGAGTAAACAACGGTTGCTAGGCAGAAGCAAGTAAACAGCGGTTACTAGGGAACTTATAAACAGAGTAACCGGCAATAGCAGTACCTATTACGTAACCGTTTTCTATATGTCCGATTCTAGGCTACATAAGAAGATACACTGAGTTACAGTGACAGTCTAGTTCTACCGTTCTACAATACCAGTTCAGTGTTCAAGCAGTTCACTATTATTATTATCCATCTGTGTATACTGTGCAGCTGCAATAAATCCTATAGGACAGTTCAACTAGTGGTTGTCTCTTCATACGACATTCCACATTCGATTTTTTTTTTCGCTTACTAAATAATCTATGAACTTAAGAGTACTATCTTCTGAAATGTTCCTAGAGAGATAGGATGGGGTGTTAGAACTAGAATCATATGGCTCAGGACCAGTGGATGGCTCAAATGAACATGATAATGAACCTTCGAGTTCCATAAAATGTTGGGAAGTACTTGAGCAACTGACGGATCCTCAAGAAGTGTTCAGCTCTATAGAATGTTGTGGGCTGTTGCGTCATGTAGTCTGTAGTAGATGCAGGTAATCAATCATATACCAGACTACAGGCGCAACATTCAAAAAGGTAGTAATCTTCATAGTGACAGACGTGAGAACCACAAACCTTGCACGTAACGAATTGCTTTCATCAGTATTGTGACATGACGCACGGAAGCCGGAGTAATGAAATCAGAATAGACGTACATTGCTAGGCAACAACTCGGTAAACACATTCCCGCCGCAACGAATACGCAAGCAACAATCGAGTAACTTCCGTTGCTATGCAACGGCGCTGTAAACACGCCCTCCCAACAATAGAGATGATGTGTTTTCTGCATCGTTCGTGCAAAATAGTTATGAGGAAGAGTTGGTTTCAGAAGAGTTATCTGTGTTTCGAGACGCTAGCCTGTCAGGATATGAGCTCAGGAGCAGAGGAATTAAACTGAGTCGAGTCTTCGGAGTTGGCAGTTGCAGAATTATGGCAAGAAAGGAATTAGACTGAGAGAAGAAGACTTCACGTGTATTGCAGTGACAGTGAGACTGTTATATATCCGTTGCCAGAATACGACTAGTGAAGACCGAGAACCCTAGTGCGTGTGCAGCGTTGAACTGTATTAATATTAGTATTAGTGTATTAGTATTACTGTATTAGTGATAGCGCTGTAATTGCCTGTAGTCCCGAGGTGGATGTATAAAGTAGTTCTAAATCCAGTCATCCGATTCAAACCCCGTCTATAAGTCACCCCTACACATAGCAATATTTTGTAGGAGAAAGGTAAGTATATTGTGGCCCAGTGTCAGAAAACAAGCGCAATATGGGTTGGTAAGGAATAGTGTCGTTGGAAGTAAAAGCTCATAAGAACCAGTGTAAATCTATTTAAACATTGGATATACTGTAATAAACTACAACACCAGTGAACAAAAAAGAAGCGATCTCTGTACCATGTTGGTTTTTATTTGAATTAACCGTCATTTATTGGTACATTTCCAATAGCATATTTTCCGTTGTTTAGAAACCACAGATAATAGACTGGGTTTCTTAGTGACGTTAATACCAAGTTCCTTGAAAGTTCTTTAATGTCAAGATGAGGCAAGACATTTGTCTCCTCTTTGAAGGTAACTAAATTAAATTAACAACAGGACATATTTATTGCAAATATTATTTTATTTGAAGAATGTCTTCTGGGATGTGATGCCGTGTAGCTCGGTAGAAGTTCACCGACGTTTCGGAGGAACGTGTTGTCATCATCTTCAAGATCGAAAAATAAGCCAAGAAAGTAACCATTATTCATAAAACATAGCTTACTCGGCTTACTTCTCTACACTGAAGACGGAGGCAGAACGTTTCTCCGAAATATCTGCGAACTTCTACCTGACTGAACGGCATCGCATCATAGTCACTACAATAAGAACATCAAATGAAATGTGGTTTTATTTGCATTAGTTTGTCAGTAGGCCCGCGAAGTCGGTTTGAAGTTGCCAGACAATTTTTCATGTTTTCGATAAGTGAAACAGGTGTCGCATTGAAGGTCTTGCAGCCTGTACTCGTTATAATTTATATCAGACACCTCACACATTGTGTGTCTCATACGAGATGGCAGTAGTGTCGGCATGAACTTACTGACAGACTCTGCAAATATTACCCTTCCTTTCTTTCTATGAACAACAAATTGAAATGTTTCAGTTAATTTAATTTCCATATCTTGTGACTCACTACGAGGTCTGCTTGGTATCAGTAATTTTCTAAGAGTTTGATCACATCTTCATAGACTACCACATCCACATCAATGGCCCACAGAAAGTCCAGATGGTTGAATTTTTCCAGTGGCACGTGGAATTTTTCGACAAGGTTAGGCACTTTCTCAGACAGCTTATCCACGTCCTATAAGGAAGTAAAGAACAAGAAAGTCAAGCGGGTTCATCATTACGTGAGTAATAATTACAAAAGAATCATTTTAAAACTCAGCCCCCTTAATTTCAAAACACAATGGAATGCCCTGTATGGAGCCAAGTCCTTCTTGAGAAGTCAGAAGTCACTCAGCTACTTTAGAATTTCCCAACATTTTATGGAACTTGAAGGTTCATTACCGTGTTCACAAGAACCCGCCACTTGTCCCTATCCTAAGCCTTATCCTATTTTTGTAAAATAAGTTTTAATATTATCCTCCCACCTACATCTAGGTCTTCCAAGTAGTCTCTTTCCTTCTGGCTGTCCCACCAAAATCCTTTAAGAATTCTTCTCATCCTCCCACCATGCGTGCTACCTTCCCTTCCAATCTCATTCTCCTCATACAGGCTTCTCCAACCTCCTATTACTTCATCCATCTTAGGTCCAGATAATGTCCACTCTGTTCTGAAACGTCCTCAGTCTATGTTTCTCCCTTAATGAAGAAACGAGGTTTCACGCCCATACAAAACTACAAGCAAAATTATTGTTTTGTGTGTTTCAAGCTTTGTATTTTTAGACTCCAGACGAGAAAACAAAAGATCGTGAACTGAATAATAGCAAGCATTATCGAAACCACCCTGGACCATATGGAGCGGAGTCTCTTCATATTCCCATGTAACTTACGCGAATTCAACCGTACGCGTTTCTTCCCCCAAATAAATTAAAGCAAATAAATAAAAATAAACATTTATATATAGCGGGCGATTTCGCGCGCCGTGACTTTCAGTGAGCACAAGCCCAAAGCGAGCGAAAACCCTCGCTCTGCTTCAGTTCCCGCGTGTTAAAGACAGGTATTTTTCGCATTACATGATCCCCAAACGCAAACTGCTACGTCATCTGGTGCTCAGCCGAAGACACAGCGATGTGTTCTAACACTGTAGGAAACACTGGCTGTGTTGGTCTTATTGAGAGACGGCATGGCGGTCTCAAATGTGACGCGCAAATATGGCCGCAACATAGATATTACAGGATTTATAAAAATCATATGTTTTGTGGGCGAATTAAGGAATTCTAGAGAGTAATTCCGACTATGCGCGATTTTTAGTCTAAGCGCCGTCTCTAGGGCGTGACCCCAGCTTAAGATATGACTTCAATGGTACACGTAACAATACTGGGTAGCGTAGCGTAGGATACTGACCTTTACGGCTGACAGCCAATCGTTGTCACTGTAGTAGACAGCGAGTGGGGCTGTCACCTTGCTCAGGTCGTAGTCGGGTGGGTTGATTCTCCCGTATTTGAGGAGGTTCCCAACCAGCCCGTAGTCATACTGCCGGAACTTCCCTGTGGATACACGTTGATACAACATACAGTCTTTAGAGTACTTTTAAAGGATGTTATTAATTCCAAGGAGCAGAGCACTTCTCGAGAAGCTAATTGTTATAAGAAATTTACTGCTGAGTGTCACTTAGTTTTCTACAGTCTCACGTGCAACACTAATGTTCTATAAAACGTATTAAAAGCTATTCACTTTTAAAGTTTGACAGTACATGTTTCGACCAATTGTGGTCAACATCAGGTGTTAAAATTATGGACGAGGAAACTGCTGTCTTCTGTTACGTTGCTTATGTTCACATATACGTCCCCTCGATGCGCATGCGTGTTTGTGTTTGTGGTTGTATTCTCTCCTGTTGTGTGTCGTGCTGCGTGTCTTGTTTTTAAATGCTTAAAAGCACTGTTGTGAGAGAATACAACCCACCAACTCAAATACGCATGCATATTGGGGGGAATTTATATTATCAACCTAAGCAACGAAACAGAAGACATCAGTTTCCTCGTCCATAATTTTAATACCTGATGATGACCACAATTGGTCGAAACATGTAGTGTGAAACTTTCAAAGTGAATAGTTTTTAATAAGTTTTGTAGAACATTAGTGTTGCACGTGAGGCTGTAGGACTGCAGAAAACTAAGTGACCCTAAGTGAAAAGTGCAACAGGATGCCACACTATCATGCTAAATTTCCTGCTTTTTATGGAACCCGAATGTTCATTACCGAATTCACAAGATCCAGCCAAGTCTGAGGTCCTGCGTAACATTTCCTGTAATGCTTGTTTTCTTTGTTACTATGAAGTGTTATTAGATCCCCACGCAACCTTCAAGCTGGTAGATCACCCCTTGTCTGATGTCCGCGACTGCTTATTCAATATATTTCCAGCTACCCTGAAATACGTAGGTTCAGTCTGTATAGAGACGGGATGGACTGCCGAGAAATCGGTGTTCGATTCCCGGTAGGATCAAGGACCGGTTCTAGGGCCCACGGATCTTTGTATTCAATGGGTACCGACGACTCTTTGCTGATATTTTCTACCAGATTACACGGCATCACGTGTCAGAAGACAGTAATTTCCATATTCAACGCCGACCTTGAAAAAATCAGATCTCACTTGATTAAAAGGAAATAATTTTTAGCCCAATTCCGTTTTTTTTTGGAAAGATAAAATGAAGCTTGTGAGATCATCTTGCTGCCTGCCTGTCTCTATGTCTTCCCTAACGTTGCTAGGCAACGGCTCTGTAAATACGTTCCCGCTGGAACGAATACGGTTCGTATTGTATCAAATACGTGATCTGTAGTTATAGGAAATTAGGCGATTGTCTCTTCCCAGAATATTTTGTTTTTATTTTACTTCTTCACAATGTGTCGCCAGGTTATATGCCGAATTTTGCACTGTGTTTGAGAAAATTTCACATGTCTCTTAATTCTGCTGACGATCTTAGACGAATTAATAGCTGCTGTAAAATGTTTCACGGTGCTTACTACACAGTGTATGGACGACAGTTGTGGGTAATATGTACATAGGTGCAGCCACAATGAGAACGTATTTATATGCACGTACCAGACTCGACTTCCTGGCCGTAGTGCAGCAGTTGCTTCGTGGAGGCTCCTGCTGGCGTGTGACCGAGGATCACAGGCAACAAAGTCTGCAACAGGGAAATGAGAAACAAAACGCTTATTTCTGTTAAATTTCATTGTTTTATGTCCTGACTGTTCTTGTATATGGATATCATTCAGCACTCCCACATTGGCCTAGTGGTCAGGATGTTAGTCTATGAATTAGGAAGTCCCAGGTTCGGTCACACCCCATCTCCATTAATCTTAAAATAAGCAGTATGATGACAATCACTAAAGACGGAAGTAGAGACATTTCTCGGAACGTGGCATATATTAAGTATACTTAAGTAAAGAATGTTTCAACAGATTGGTTCTCAAACTTCTCGCATCCGTGGACCCCTAGCAACAAAATGCACATTCAAGGGCCCCTCATCCCTCCACATCAAAATTACCTGCATATCAATTTAATACACTCAAACACAACAATTTATTTATAATATTTTAATTCTTGTATCATGTTTACAGAATATTTTATACCTGTTACGATGTGTTTCCTTTTCTCAGTCGTTTAATGACAAAATAGCACAGTCACCCGTACGCAATTTCGAGCCCAAAATACGTATTATTATAATATTATATTTAAGCATCCTGTTGCACTCTATACGATAAATGATACAAACTCCGTCCTAAGTGCAAACAATATATATTATATGTCTTTGCTCTTGTTCTTTCTTCACTACATGTTTCGGCCTCTATCGGCCATCATCAGGTGTATACTCTTAACGTTGCTGCCACACTGAACCCAGTCTAAAATTTAACATTTAAAAACACAATGTCACATTCTTCGTATTATCAACATCTACATCGTTGATATGTGTCTGGTATGTAGATTATGTTGCACACGTCA